ATTAGATTCTTATTAGAGTCCATTAAAAAGATCAAATTTTATTAGAGTGCATATGAAAGTAAAGATACCAGACCAGTGATTCTCAAATGTTTTCTAACGTATCACCCAAATGTCCCAAAATACAACCCGAAATGTCCTCCAAATGATAATGGGGGGTTCATGATATTGTAATGTCCCTAACAATATTAGTATATAATTATTCAAGTTTTTATATAATATTTGGTGGATGTCACAGACAATGACAAACAATATAATATAATATACGATCAAAAAAGTATTGCAATTAAATAAATATTCTCCTTATTTTTTTATTATATAAATATATACTCCAGCCATTATATATATTATATATATGAAGTTATATGCATGTACAGATACATACACAAGAATAATCACTAATAGAATAAAATTAGCAATCGTATATGTGGCTATAATTTTCTTGATAAACTTGAATGTGTTTCCTTCTCCTGAGGTGTCATGGAAGCAATAATTTCATCGGTTACAATCACTTAATTCTATCGTTTTACCTCCAACTGTTACTGTGGGTATGTTATCATCTGATTCTGAATCCATTGTGCCAACGTCAGCTGAAAATTACATAAAGCATAAAAAATGCCATTTATAAAATAGTTTACGAATTATTTCAATAAAAAACAGCTTACGGATAAATGTGTTATCGATATCTTTATATTCAGATTCATCAGCACTTGAATCTGATGATTCATTGTTAACTCCAAGTCCTTTAAACAGCATTCTCTGTTGCATTTCCTAAAAATATTTGAAACTTTTTAGTTGGTGATTTGTATATTCCTCTAATTTTGGAAATAATCTACTAGATTAAAAAAGATCTTCTAAATATTAGTATCTAATATATAAACGAAGCATTACTATTAATTTAAATATAATAAAACTTTGTGCAAATGTAGTATTGTCTTATAATTTATGTACCTGAGCCATTTCCACTTTGTTTTTCATGTTGCAACAGTACGGACATAAATCATTTTCAACCTTCTTAGCTGCTTTCGCATTATTTGTAGCAATATTCACCGGTTCTGGAGCAACTTCTGGTAGTTTTTCAGCCTAAAGAAAAGTAATGGGTTGAAATAATTGCAAACAAGAATTTATTATCTCTCACATTTCAAGCCATTTTCAATATTTTCAATAAATATAAACATATGATATGAAGTTATAACTAAGAAATTATAGGTCAGTATCTTAGATAAAAGAGATAAGGTAATGGTAGTATATCCATTACTAATTATATAATAAATTTATGAATAATTAATTACATATCAATTATACCTGTGCGCTTACAACAGTACTTTCAGTCATCCATATTGGGCGATCCTTTCTAGCTGCTGTATTAGTATCTACAACATTATCTCCAATACTAATATCAACACGAGCTTCTTCAACAGCAAAACCAAGACCTCTAGTTGCTTCTCCTGACCAAGGTTCTCCTGCATTTCGGTCAGATGGGTGTGTTGAAGTTATACTGAAAATTGATTGACAATTACAATAGCAACACATATATCTGGACAATAATTTGTTGTACACAATACCCTCTAATAGTATTTATATCAACTGGCTCAGGTTCCAATATTTCAGGCGCAAGTTTCAGTCCCTCAACTTGTCTTAGTAACATATATAAGGGTTCTAATTGTTCATTGAACTTTGCCAATAGAAGTCTTGAATCTTTTTTTGGAAGTGCTGATAAATCTTCTTCAACTGCACTGTTACAAAATGTGCAGCAAATTCTGAGGTTGCAAAGTTAAAAAGTTGATCTGCCTAAATCAAAGCCATATTAAATACATTGAAATGAGGAAATGATACTGAATGTGTTACCTCTAAGTCTGTGAATGTTTTGTCACAACCAAGACATTTAAAGCTAGCACGACTTGTGGCATCTCTTTCTTCAGTTTCCATTCTCTTTCTCATTAAATCTAATTTGTATTTTACAACATTCACAAATGTTTTATAATTGATAAAATAATAATTCACTTTTTGAGCTTTTCCATCAATCCCTATGTAAAAAAAAACAAAATTAAGTACTGGTATATAAGTGAAAATAATTGTTATTCAGTGTAAAGTGCAATAAATATTACTCAACAATTCAACTTTCATATAATAATACTTTAAAAGCATAATATAAAGTCTCCAATTTATAGAATGATATCAGAAAGCATTAAAATTACAAAATTCACAAAATTTAAATTCATATGATATTCAAAAAACGCTGTTCTATGGCCAACAAGCTTAATTCACATGCATAATAATAAATTAGAATAGAACCTGTTTCCATTTTTAACCGAACTTGTATAAATTTGTCTGATTTTAGAGTGGCGATACGAGCTCTTAACATTTTTCTTTCAAACTTGAGTAATTCACATATGTCATCTTCTTTCATACCTAACAGATTAATAAGTCAGTTAATTATGTAAATAAAATATTGATTATAGTTTAATTTATTACTTAATTATGGTACTAACAGGGATTTCGCACAAGCATATCAATTATAAGGGCATCTTCAATACTGTAAAACCCGCGTACTACCAGTCTTGCCAACTGCTTTAGGCTGCTTGGTACTTCAGTAACATAACGTTCCTCTGACATATTTATATTTATATATGTGTCAATAAAAAATAAATTCTATACAAGTTTTAACATATCAGACCTTGCCCTGAAAATAAAATTGTGTTAATGGTGAAAAAATCGTTCTGAAGATGTATATGATGCATTAGATTACTTCTAAAACTTTATCACAATAATAGTAATTAAACTCACAAATACTTTAATTATTTCATGCCAATGGCTGCAATTAATAAAGTCAAAGTAATTGTAGCTGGAGATTCAGGTGAGTAAAAAATATTCATTATAAAAACGGTCTTTATATTTACAAGCACTTTAAAATAAACTCAACGTATTATAAATTAAGACAGCAGCATAGGTTAGAAGTGAATCAAAAGTGTAATGTCAAAATACAAGGTAGCCAATGACACAAATTACATAGTACCAACTGCGCAAAGTGAACGTTATATTTGAATGCTATCAATGTAGACCTATTCTTTTACTGATCTTTAATAATTAAATTTGAAACTGAATTTGAAAATAACACTACGAACTGATGACTTTTTAATTTATTGTGTATATATTGCTTTGTCATACATTCCCCTATTTTTTTTTTGTTAATTTCTTTATGAATCATTTAATTGCATAATGCAAGATGAAACAGTCGCAAATTCAAAATGCTTGGTATTTTTTATGAGTAATAGCAATAATATACTAAAGAAACTGGAAAATATTATGTAGATAAAATGAAATGAACAGTTATATAACTATTATAAATTTTACATATATAGGCACATAGTACAGAGATTTTAATCATATATAAAAATAGAGTTTGTTTATAGGTGTGGGTAAATCATCTTTAACTCATTTGATAACTCAAGGTGAGCCTTTGATCTCACCTGGCTGGACCATTGGATGCTCTCTAGAAGTGAAACTACATGAATACAAAGAGGGTACACAAGCCCAAAGCACATTTTTTGTAGAGTTATGGGATATAGGCGGATCAATAAGTCATAAAAATACAAGAGATGTATTCTATCAACCAACTCATGGTTTGTACAATTAATAATATGTACCACCTTTACAAAAACATTTTTTAACTTCCAATTAGAAAAGTTTGCCTTTTACCAGAGTAGATAATAGTATGTGCTGGTGTCTATTTGAATGTAAATTTTGGCTCTTGGCATGTTCTCCAAAATGGGTTCATCAATTTCAAGATTTTATATTGCTATAATTATCATTCTTTTTAATTAAAGTTCCATTTATAAAAGTTGTGTATGTCTTCTACTTCAGGTATCATACTTGTGCACGATCTTACTAACCGAAAAAGTGAACAAAATCTACAGAAGTGGTTGTCTGAAATTTTAAACAAGGAAGCTAATTTAGGGAAAAGTGCATCAGAAGACTATGATCCAGAACAATTCATCGGTTCAAATCAGGTACATTTATTGCTTATAACATATTTTGAATACATGACAATCATTTTATATTCACATATGCATTCAAGATCCCAATTTTTGTTGTCGGGACTAAGTTAGATCTAGCAGAAGAAAAACATAAGGCTAAAATAAAATCAATCAGTAATATAGGTATGTATCATTCAAAATGTTATTACAATTTTAAATCTATAAATGAATGCATGAAACAATTATTTTGAAAGCTTATGGCATTTGTATTTATATTATTATTATTATTACAAATGAGCATGAATCAAATTCATGAACATACTTGCATAAAAATATATAAATTGAATTGAATTATTAATGAAGTTGGCAGTGACTTTTCATATTATCATAGTAACATATTATCAAAATGATTTGTTTTTATATTAATTGATTTATTTTCTCTGAAACTACTCTACAGCGGATCAATGTGGGGCTGATGAGATTCATGTCAATTGTCATCAAAGTAAAAGTTTGGCAGCTGGTTCTACTACAGCCGTTAAATTAAGCAGATTTTTTGATAAAGTTATAGAACGTCGTTATTACAGCCGTGATGCTATCAACAGAAAAAAAATGTTTGCAGTGACACCAATTGTCGATCGAACAGCTGGAGCTTATTCTCCAATAACAATGGAACAAGGTTATCACAATCCTTTAACACCAAAATTTTATCATATGGAATAAGGATCTAATAAAATCATAATTTAATATATGTAGGTACATACATGCAAATATTTATATATAAACATATAATTGAATATATATTTATATATTATATAGAGATGTTATATTAAAATAAGATGAATCTAACAAGGCCTTTCCATTTTTTTCCACCAAGTATATTTATAATGATATTTTTGTATTTCAATACCTCCTCTTGGAATAGGAACCATAGATTTTCCTAGCATTCCATGAGATAAAGGGGGTTCCACCAAATATGCTGGAAAACAATCTAAAGATTCCCACTCACAATTTGGTGGAAGTATCAAATGTTTCCAGCCTGTGCGATGTAGCATATTTACCTACAACAAAATTAAGTTATTTATTAAACATTAAGCATAGTTTGATGTTCTGATCATGTACCTTCTTGCTATCTTTGAAAATAAATATTTCCAATATCGCTCCAGGTTTTAAAGTATCTGATATTATAAACTTGCCTAGAAAATTTGTAAAGTGGTTAGGAAATATTGTTTTTTATATTTAATAAAAGCTAATAAATTATAATTATTTGAAATTGAAATAAATTGTATGATATATCAAAATTATACAGCAATTATTTTGGACTCAAAATTCTTTGATATTTATATACATTATTGTAAATCTTCATATGGAATACATAAATTCATAAGAAGTAAATGAAACTATAAAAAATATAGTTTATATAAAATATTAATAACAATAAAAATTATCAATGAATAGAATAGAATTCAAAATAAATGAAAAGAGAATCAATGCAAACAGAATACAGGTCAATTGTAGAATGAATTAATATTGCTATTGATTAATGGAAATAAAATTGCAAGCAAAAAATACCTTCCGCTGAGCTGTATTGGACATGCAAATTTGATTTTTCAAAGATCATCAGTACAGTATCATTTATTTTTTCGTTTACTTCTAATTTGAGACATATTTCAGCTTTCTCTGCCCAAGGAAATAAATTTGAATGTTGTATTTGCCCCCAAAGAGTTTTATAGCATAGAAAATGTATAATATTTAAATGATCCAATATTTCATGTACTCTGAAATAGTAAGAATTAATCATGTATATTAATAACAAAATATATTGACATTTTATTACCTTGAAACTAATGAGTTCAAACTATTAATGAATGCTTCACTTTGTAAGCACTGTTTGTTACGATTATCATTGTAAAAACATCTGTATATTAAAATGATAAATAAAACCACAAATAAACATAAAACTGCATGTTTAAAGTATAATCGCATGTTACTTTTATGTATAAATAAATTTTTATGAATTCACTTCAGTTTATAAAGTAATATTGCATTTATAAAGGTAATCCATAGTTATTCAAACATGCTGGCATTTTAAAAGCACGATTAGTTACTTCATTATTATTTTTACCCTTATTTAAATTTCGTTTCTTAATAACACTTGACACATTGTGCAACAATAACAATAATGACAGCCAAACTGTCAAAGCGTAACTACCATAGACAGCCAGTAATAACTTTTAATAGATTGAGTGATTTCAAGACATTCCATAGTGACTTCTTTATAAAGATTGGACATTATGTTCGGATCTATACTAGCGCCGCCAGCGGAATTATTATGAACTTGTCTAGTTGCGTACAATACATGAATTTAAATAAATAAATTGTATGAAAATTTATATAATTTATCACGTTTTGGAGATAAAAAATGTCCCTATTGACTCATTTCAAAATATTAATTAATATTTAAGAAATATACTAGAAATAGTCTATTGGAGATAGTTTTTCATTAAGATCGAATACTCAAAATCAATATTAACCTGTTGCATATTTTTAAAATAATAGCGCATCATTAGTTTTACTAGCTTTTTTGTTCGTTTTTTTTTTCATTTATTACTTTTCAGTGTTATTGATTATTTAGAATTGAATAGTTCGTATTTATAATAATATTTTTTCGATTGCATTTTTAAGTCCTCTTGGGGCTACCCTGTGGACTTTAAAATAATAAGATGAAAAATAAATAATTGATGCTGCAATTTGGTTCATACATAATTTTGTTTAGTATTACATTAGATAGATCTAGTTGTGCAATGAATAAAGTTGTTCTTATTCTTCTTTATCAAATAAAAGCGGATGAAAACAATTTCAACTCTGCTTTCAACAATTTCAACAAGCTTTTTTGTTCGTTTTTTTTTCATTTATTACTTTTCAGTGTTATTGATTATTTAGAATTGAATAGTTCGTATTTATAATAATATTTTTTCGATTGCATTTTTAAGTCCTCTTGGGGCTACCCTGTGGACTTTAAAATAATAAGATGAAAAATAAATAATTGATGCTGCAATTTGGTTCATACATAATTTTGTTTAGTATTACATTAGATAGATCTAGTTGTGCAATGAATAAAGTTGTTCTTATTCTTCTTTATCAAATAAAAGCGGATGAAAACAATTTCAACTCTGTACTGAGCGGTTGCTTATTGAATAATTTCACAAAATAATAACGATATTACATATTTATTTAAAATACATATTGCCATAAAGTAAACATTTTATGCCGTTCTAACAATTTTAATAGCATGAGCGTATGACTATAATCAATAAAGTAATATTATCTTCTAGGAATAAATCACAATAAATCAATCAAACAATTTAAAAAGTTAAACATAAATAGAAATTATTTATAAGCGTATTTAATTTCGATTTAATTTTCTGCAATTTAATGAATATATTGAGTTCTTCAAAATATACAAATTAAGTAATTAAGTCCATTCATGATGACAAGTAATAAGGCCCCCAATATTCATTAAAGTTATCGTGCCTAATTTATAACCACTAAACCATAATAAATGATATTTTCAAATTACTATCGTGATTATTTGCATATTATATGAAATTACAATAGCACAAATTTTATTACATTTTGATGTTTTGTTAAATCAATTTACGGTATTGAAATTCTCATGCCTTTGATATTATTATTACAAAAATAAATTAAATTTTATGACAGATTAAAATGATTTACTAAATGATTTTAAATAGCAAGAATTGGTGCGATATCTTATTAATATCTAGTACATTTATCTTTATATTGTAGGAGTTGATATACAGCACTTGGTGATATTTTTATTATTTATTATAATATAGTTTTAATTCTTAGATTCAAAGATATGTTAACAATATATTGTTAATATGATGCCAACATACCTATTAATATGAAGTACAATCATCAAATCATTATACAATCAATATGGTAAAAGATTCAGATGAAAATTTTTTCAATGATATTAATTTAAGAATTAATTCAAGAAATAAGCGAGGTCTTGGCTTTCAATTTGCAATTTATTGAAAGGTAAGACAATTATATATAATATTAACAATTTATTTTACTATAGATTTTAAAACCGTTCTCACACGAATTAACCAAATCAAAAAGGCCAATATAAAAGTATGTGACAATTGCCAGGATTTAAGGCAATATACAACATTACTTTGTAATGTAAGTATATTTTAAAGAAGAAAAAATGTATCATGAATATACCAGATCAACATTAAATAATAATTTAAAACATATTTTGTATTCCACTTCTTAACTAATAAATGTTATATTTTTTTATAAGATCAAACAAATACCAAAGTATTTTATGGATAATGATGTACTTTCAGGTGCGTAGAACAAACCCTATAAGCGCGTAATTTTATTTTATTTTGCTAATAAATTATAAAAGCGTTAAATTTAGTATATATAAAAAAAAAAATATTTCAATACTGCCGACGTGGTTTGAATTTTCTTATTCATATGTATCAATTTTGTAATATAATTAAATTAATTTGGTATTATAAACGATCACACAGTTGCCAAATGCTGTTGAAACTTAATATTAATCTTAATAAAATTAATCCTAAAATTAAAGTAATAAAAATATGCATAATATTATTCCTAATAATCATTTTTATGTTTTTTTACTTAATTAAATGCCTTATGCCAACTAGTGTGAGAGCGGGTTAAGTGATATGGGGAACATGTACATGTAAGATTTTATTTCTAATTTCATACACTTTCTATCCAATATATTTGTTTTCATATTTCCATTTTTCTACAAAATAATATCATTTATAAACCGGTGATTCACTCTAATATAAACATTAGATACTCTACAACAACACATATAGGGCTTTATATCCAACAACATTTATCGTTAAATACAAAATGGCAGATTTTATGTTATCATGCATAATAATAATTATTAATATTTGCAAAATTCAGAATTTTGCTTCATCTAAGTTCAAATTATTCATCCATAGGACGTACGATAAGTCATCCGTTACAATTTTGAATGACTTAAATATTGAATTAAATTCGAAATTTTTTCATAAATATGTAACGTAAGTAAAATAAATTTGTAACTTAAGTAAAAATATTCCATAAGTAAGGTGAAATATACAATTTATTTTTTCGATAATTGAATAAAAAATGAAAACAGAAGAATTTAAGTGTTAATAAATTGTTCACAACGTTTTCAAATTTATTCGCTTATTACTACATTTTATTTACTAAAGTAATATTTTTTACCGATATTTCAAAGGTTTTAATTGCTAAATGATTCACAATTAATGATTTTTTAAACAAAATTTTATATGTAATAAATGCCGAATTATATTTGAATTTTTTATTAAATAAAACTAATCCCGTATTTAGTTAACACTGGTTAACACACTTAAAATTAATCCAAGCATATATTATACTATATTACTATATTTTATTTATATTTGTGCTATTGTTTTATTTATTACATTTATTTACTGACTTAATTTATTGGTTTGTTAATATCATTTTCAAAAATAGTCTGTCAGAATTATTATTACTATTGTTCTATTTTTTCGCGATTTTCTTGCCTGTAAAACGCAGATATATTTGTGGAATCAGCTCAAGCTCATTTGCTCATCTTATTTTATCGTGTTTGTAAGCTAAGTTGTATAAAAAATCTGCTTAAAAGAAGTTAATTTATAATTACAAGGAATACAAAGAAATTTATCACAAACTGCCTTTTAGGACCACAAAATTAATTTACCAGAAATAAATATCTGTGTTGTGTTTCTGGTAATAATATCAATTGATGCTATTAATTGTGACTTTGAAAAAATATCAAATTCAGAGATATTAAATTATATTTGATATCATTTTTGGATATTAAATAATGCATCTCTTTATCATGCTACAAGTTGTTAAAAATAGTAATTTGATCAAATAGTAATTTATACAAATTAAATACCTTCATTCATTTCGTAAAATGTGTAATAAATTAATCATTTAAGCAATTGCTTTTGGCAGGAATATTTTTATCTCAATTTCACAATTTTATTGCAAGAAGATTTGTTTTAAAGATATAAGATAAAAATCGATATTTTTTCTGTCTACATCGGAAACATTACTCTGTAATAAATCATATTGCGATTTTTATAACTTCAACTAAAAAAGCTAATAATTGTCAAAGAATTTTCTTGTTAACCATCTTAAATGACTTGTACTGATACCATCTTTTTTATTTTGGTCATATACTTAGATAATGTATAATATTAGAGAAGTTTACGATATTGATGAAAAATACTGAATAATTTTTGGCAATTTAATTAACAAATTTTATCACAAAAGTAATAACTTTCATAGGCAATGAGTCTGTGTAACTAAATACTATATATGAAATAAATATAATAATCATATTTATATGAAATAAAACTAGCGACTTTCCTAGTTGGTTCTAGCAGCTTTCCAAGTACTTATAAAGAATATTACAATATTCAATAAATTTAGCTAATCAGACTTTTTAATGAAAATAGTTCAAATGATATTAATATTTATTATTATTGTCGTTTAAATTAAAAATAAAAGGTACAACATCTATTATCAAAATGCCAAAAATTAATCAGTATTTTTTTATCCAAATTTATTTTACTAAATTCGTATTAAAACAAGAATTCTATACCATATACTAGGTCAGGAAAGCGCAGTCGACGCAAAAACGACGGGCTTCCATCACAGCCATCCAGATGGTTGGTTGTGTCCATTAAGAGGAATGATACCGGGTAAATGGGGCAGTATCCTGGGTTGACCATTTCGATGGTTCTTTGCTGACGATACCAAAGGCAAGTTAGAGTCTTCAGATTCAGCCAAACCTGGAGTTTTGAGCAGAGGCTCACGAGAGCTTCCTTGAGCACTGCTGCTAGCCGCCACGCTTTCCTCGGTTGTTGATGGCGTTAGAGGAACACCAGATACTAAAAAATTTTTTTTATTAAAATTGATTAAATATTACAGGATATCTAAGAACCCAACGTCAACGATCGTAACTAATGAGAAAACAAATCTTTGTAGTGTGAAAATTATGATTTTTTCAGTGCAACCTATAATATTCGACTATTCGTAAAACTGTAAATATTTTTTGTTTTTTTTTGTTCAATTTTTATTAATTTTTTTTTCAATTAATCTTTGGATCAGTAGACGCAAAAACATTGACACCTTTCTTCCAAGATTTCTAGAATTAAGACTATTTATTAAACCAAAAATTTAAAATTTTCAAAACTATTCGACCATGAAAGACCATCCTTTAAAAAAATGTAATAAAAGTTTATTGGCAAATTTCATCAAAAGTTCGCGCATTTAGTTAGGATTGTAAAATTGTTCAATAATTCATATTTCTATAATAATAAAATTGTTTAAAAAAATAAAAACTAAAAATGACATTTTTGCTATTTATTCATAATCCGTTCAAATGTTGGTTGTACAAGTAAGCTCTATGAAACTATTAAGTATTTTATTTCTTGTGAAACTTGCCAACAATCTTTAGTGCATTTTTTTTAAAACCTTCTTAAAATAAAGCAATTGTGACATTATTTTTGACTGTGGCCCTAGAAATGTTATTTACGGTTACAGACAGGGCCGGATTTAAAAATTTGGCGCCCTGGGGCACTGACAAAAATGCCGCCCCTTCCCTAAATTTTTACTTAAATCAGTTTATATATATCATTTTTCTAGAATTAAAATAACTATTTGATTGCAGAACATTTATTACGCATTACATAGTGTAAATAGTGGTGCTTGGCATCGTGCCTCAAGATAAATTGCTGAAACCGTACCAAAAATTAATATTAAAAAAAAAAATTAAAGCGATCGGCCTGCCTTAGCAGACAAAATGAAGAAGCGCGTAAGCGCCGCCTCGCAGAATAACAGATAAATAATTTTACAGAACCCATAGAAATGTAACCAAAATTTATATTATTAAAATATCTGATAATTTGATGTGCATATGGCTAATGATCATTTTTGACCGCCAAATGTTTCTCTTTCAAATTTTTTTATTAGATCACCGAAACCGCTAGACCTGCCTCCCACAAATTTAATCAGTTCTCCATTTTGTCTCCATATATGTAAATTTCTTTTAATGATATTGGACGTTTCATTTCTCAAGAAATGAATTATTATTTTTGGCATTTTGGCCCGTATTTCCGAAACAGTTGGACCCGTCTTGGCCAATAACTAATCAGCACGTCTCGCTATCAATAGAAATCAAATTATACAAATAAAATTTAATTTTAATAAGTTTAATAAATGAAACTTAATAATTTTCAAAAAATTTCGAAATATAAAAAAAAAGTTTTTTTAAAGTCAATGTTTATTATTTTCAATAAATTTTTATAAAATGTAATTTGTCGTAAGGCACAATGCCATGCGTCACTAATTTAATTTTTTTCTGCGCCATGAGCTTGGAAGTGCACAAATTTGTCATATTAAGATGGCTCGAGATCTGAAGAACATATTTTTCTTAATCTTTCAACTCACTTACGATTCTTTATATTAGCCAAATTGCTAAATTTTGCTAATAAATTTGTATAATTTATTGTTAATTATATTTCTTGAAATTAAAAATGTTATTAAAAAAATGAGTTAATTATATGGTAAAGAATTTTCTTCTCACTATCTAAATTTTGCCGCCCCCAAAAATTTGCCGCCCTGGGCAGTGGCCCCGACTGCCCCTACTGTAAATCCAGCTCTGTGTATATAAGTATATATACATGTATAATAGAACACTTGAATAAATTAAAAATATATTTTGATATTAAAATTTAATTTCATCTTTAGTATATATAATTTCATACCAAGTATACAAATTTTTCATGTAGCCATTTTTTTTTATTTTCATGTAAATTACAATCTGTCTACGTAGAAAAACATTGAGTAATTAATTTGACAAATAACATAGAATTTCAAAAGGAAAACCCAGACACTGTCACTTTATATTAATGTACTAAATTATGACTTAATTAAAATTAGGTATATGTATCCATATAATCACTATAATTTTTCTAAAAATATTCAAAATCTTTTAAGACTGAATTTATTTATTTATTTTCTTTAAAAATCCAATTGTAAATAAACAATGACAGGTTTTCTGTGATTTTGCCAACACTAGCGCTATCAATTGCCTAATACCCAAAACTATTTATTCATAAGATAACAACCAAAGATAAATGATTTTATCATAGATAACAATCTATGACAAAAATATAAGATTTGAATTTGAATTTGTAGGTAACGACATAAACTAATATGACCGATAACGATTTATATTGTTTTGGCGCCTTTTCGCCCCCATAAAAGCTGGCACAAACACCGTGTTAAGTCTTTTTGTGCTGGGACCTCGGGGTGACACTACGGTGAAAGGTAAGTCATTTATAATAATTAATATTATTCTAAAACTTTTTCAAGTAGTTTCTAAAAAAAATCATATATTCAGTTTCTTGAATATATGATTTATGCATGGTGTTAGCTTGTGTTTTGATTTATTTAATTTTATTTAGTGAATTATAAATTTAAAAAAAAATGGGAACTGTTTATTATTTATATAAATCGATTTATGTTATTTTTTCTATTTCAAAATAATTTTTGCCAAAGAGTTGCTGTGCTGGCTTTGGAATAACTCTTCAGCCAAAATTATAATAAAATATAGAAAATAATGTAAATCAAATAATATAAATAAAAACGGTTTTCAATTTTTTTTAATTTTAATTCAATAAAAATAAATCAAATCAAAGCGCAAGTACATATATATATAGGTATATATATATATATATATATATATATATATATATATATATAGGTATATGTATGTATATAGGTATATGTATGTATATATGTATCTAATGTATATTGTATATATTTTATATTATATAAATATAAATAATTCCAACTGTAGAATTTAGGTATGATTTTATGACATAAAATTCATTTTTATATAATTTATTTGAATATACATTTTGATTTAAATATTGAATTATTAAATGAAAAATAGAAATAAGAACATACGAGTATGTAGTATATGTATAAATTTTATTAAGTCTTATAACATTAAACCATGAATATTGCATAATAATTGTACAAAATAATAATTTTAATAACAAAGTCAATAAAAATGAAAAAAGGATTAGAATTAGAAAACTATTTCAACATTAAAATTTATATCTGAACTTATGTTGGAATTATTTACAATTGACTTGTTATAATTATTTAATGTAGTTGTTTAATTAATTTTTAATGTAGTTCGTTTCTTTTCAGATTTTATACAGTGCCAACAGTGTTATGTGCAGTGAATACTAACTTCGGAGGCTTATTGTGCATTAAACTTTTTTTGATATTAATTGTAACTTAGTTTATTTGATATAGTGTTAAAAGTAATTTTTTATTTACCATTTTGCGTTATTTCGAGTACATGGTCCACACTATTTTTTTTTTTTTTTAATTTTCGAAAAACGAACGAATCGTATTATGATGAAAATTGCGCGTTTGAAGCTACGTTCCTGCCGCCTACCCCCCACGGCAGGTCCAAGTAGTCGGGTTTCACATTTAAATTTAATTTATTAATTGAATAATTTTTGTTTTGTATCTCTGAGTGTATGGACCCCTGCGTTGTTTTCCCAGAAGCACCGCAACCCCATGCACATAATTTAACAATTATTATTATTTGTTAGCAATTATTATTAAATTTAATTTTTTAATTATTTCGCTAAGTGGCCCATGGAAAAAAATAATTTTTTTTTAGATTTATAAAATTCTTTTATAATGTTTTCAACTTACTTTGATTACTTTTCGTGTCGTAATGTAATGAACACAATTTCAAGAATTAACTTTACTTTTACTGGTCGCACAATGAGTCTCCTGGTGGAAGATGCTGAATTTATAAGTGGTTGAACTTGGCAATTTTCAGGACATGGTAAGAAACTCTGAGCTATGTACAAATCTTTTTAATATTGATAGAATTAAATAAAATTTTAATTTTAGGTTGAACACAGAAGTTACCAGAGGAATAGATCCTAAAACACTATTACTAAAACGGAAGAATGTTTACCAGGACGTTAGTGATTACCAGTGTACAAGGATAGAATGGACCACTTTGCAACCAGGAGCGCACAAGACCAGAAGAACGTTTGTTATATTCAGATAAGTTTGTTACTTACTAAGATAGATCACTTTGCTAAGTAGGATGGACCACTTTACCACCACCAGGAGCACACGACCAGGAGAACGTTATGTTGATAAGTATCTTACTTGCTAAGATAGATAATAAGATATTAGTTTTTTGCGATCATTTTCTATATTATTTTGTTATATTAAGATATGTATCTTACTTGCATGCGACGATAGATCATAAGATATTAGTTTTTTTGCGATCATTTTCTATATTATTATTATATTATATACTATATTATTATTTTATCGGGGCCCCATTTACGTTTTCATTCTTTATATTTGATTCGTGGACGGATTTATATACATATTATAAATAAGATATATTTTGGGCAAAATCGTGTTAAATACAGTGCCAGACAGTGTTGTGTACAATGATATATCGTGATATATACAGTGCAAAACCTTAATATTTACAAATCAAGATCAAGATATAATTCAAGATCAAGATACATACAGTGAAACATCAACATCAAGATCCATACGAGATGAAGATACATACAAGATTAGAACTAACCAGAAAATTGACTACAAAATTGGAGGACGTACACATGGATGTATTATTAAGTTAAAATTAAGTTAGAATACATTAGGCTGGTAGTTTACTATTTTTTATTTTAAAAATGGGTGGGGAAGACGACAAGGACCTTCCAGTTTGCATAGATTTCGCGTTTTTTCACAATTATTTAAAATTAATTCATATAACAATACTTAATACACAATTTTATGACCTTTATAAATGCACTCCTCTATAAGCTTCATAGTGCTGGGAACCTATGAAGTTAAAGTATTTACATGGTGGATCTTAGGGGGGTACATCATGTAAATACTTTTTTTTTCTTTTTTTTTCTTTTTTTTTCTCTTCATTACAAAATTACCTTTAATTACAAAAGTACATTACAATTTTACCTTTAATTTCTAGCAGGTTCTTGCATCGTCTACGGTTTTTTCCTAAAGAAGATCTTCATATACATTTAATCATCTCGCGGGGTATTTTTCATGTTACATTTGGGTCATTTAAGTTAGGCTTAAATTAGGTTTAGTTAATTAATTTAAGTTATTTTGTAAGTGGACTAGGGCTGT